CTATATTACTCTTGTTTATTCTGCACAATAGCTTATAAATTGCAGCTTTGATTTAAGTCTTGAAAGAAAAAGAAACAAGTTTTTAAGTTTAAATTGATAAGACCCAATTCACCCCCCCTCTTGGGTAGCTAGCTAGGATTACAAAGAGAAAGGTGTGTTACTTCTTTTCCCTCTCCAATCCTCTTATATTTCAGATGAAGATGGCTAAGAAGATTAAAAATATTATTGCCTCTGTGGATGATATTAACAAGAAGGCCCAAGATTTTGGACTTCAACCTATACTTGTTGGCCAAGGTGTGGAACAGAGGCGAGGAAACCCACAGACTACCTCCTTTTGTGATGTGTCACAAGTTGTAGGAAGAGATGATGATGTCTCCAGAGTAGTAGAGTTGTTAAAAGACTCTACTAATCAACTACCCCTTTGTGTCATATCTATTGTAGGTATGGACGGTCTTGGCGAAACCACTTTAGCACAATCAGTGTGCGACAATGAGCATATTAAAAAAGATTTTGCTAAAATAATGTGGGTTTGTGTGTCTGAAAATTTTGATTTGGAAAGAATTTTAAAGAAGATGTTAGAGTCTGTGACTGGACATAATTGTAGAAATATTACAAATGTAGATACTATCATTCAAAAGATACGAAATGAGTTGGCAGGGAAAAACTATCTTTTCATATTAGATGACGTGTGGAACTTGGAAAGCCAAAAGTGGGAAGAATTAAGGAGGGGTCTACTAAGAATGGGTAACAATTCGAGGAGTCGGATTGTTGTGACTACTCAAGTTGAAAGGGTAGCATCAACAATGGGAACATTTCCTGAACACAAGCATTATCTCAAGAAGCTGGAGGATGGTGAATGTTTGTCTATAATCAAGCAAAGGGCATTTGGGGACTCTCCAATACCTTCAGAGTTGGAAGCCATTGGATGGGAAATTGCTCAAAAAGGCAAAGGTGTGCCTTTAGTTGCAAATGTTATTGGGGGAATCTTGCGTAATAACATGAGTAAAGTGAAAGGTTTTATAATACACTTAATCAAATTAAGAATTATAAACAAATTATTAGTCCCCATGATGCAAATATGTTCATGTAAAAATTAGGAAAACTCACAGAGATTTCACACGCGCAAAATCCTCCAAAAGTTCACACGCGATGCCTCAATTCTGTCTTCTAAAGAAGTGATGGCTTCTTCTCCCACTAGCTTCTGTTTTTCTTGTAAAAACTTAGATACCCTATTGACAAATCAATAGGTCTTATATATAGGGAGCTTGTATAGTTAGACTAGAATTACAAATAGCATGTTGCGTGGGACTCCTTTTTGGGATCTTGATCTCTTAGCAAATTGAATTTAAATCAATTTAGGATTGTAATCAAAAACCCATCAGTAGATAACAATCTTATCCAAGAAATTACAGATAAAATTGTGAGATCCCTCAAACCACAATATTTACATAATAGTCCTCCACCAACTAAAATTCCATACAAAGTCTAATCGAATTAGAATTCTTTATAAAATTGTCATCCAACCTTTGTATGTGTGTCTCTTAAATATATTTAGATAATAAAACAA